GTCGTTCTCCGCCCTCGCCCTGCGGCCCGCAACCGCCTTGCGATTCCGGCTCTCAGCGGTCCCCTGCTTCCCGCCGCTGGGGGGACATGGAGTTTGCGGAGCTGATTAAGACCCCGCGCGTGGACAATGTGATGCTGCACCGGCCTTTCTATCCGGCCGTCGAGGGGACTCTCTGTCTCACAGGCCACCACCTGATCCTGTCCTCCCGGCAGGACAACACGGAGGAGCTGTGGCTGCTCCATTCAAACATCGACGCCATCGATAAGCGGTGAGTGCCCAGCCCACTCGCTCTTCTGCAGGGAGCTGGGGGACTCTAGGTGGGCGCCTAAGGAAACTGATTAAAATGTGTCCTCTATGGCCTAGATTCACGACGAAGTTTAGAACGCAGAAAAATATCTTAATAGAATACTTGGTCACTGTTAAATCAGAATAGAACTCTTAGGGGTAACGTGTAGTTACTTGGATTGCCATTTTGGGTGCATAACACTGTTTAAATGGATTTCCAGAGAGGCCTTTTGTAATTTCTTTTCTCTGCCTTATCATACTGCTAATCACAGCTCATGAAATTGTGTTTGGACGTGATTTAGGTAAAATGTAAAATGTTTGCTTACCTTAGATGGATATGTATGTAGTCATCAGGCTGTCGAAATTCCATCACACCTCTCCACTCCCTCTCCTCTCCTCCAATAGCTTTGTTGATGGCCTTAGGTGCCATCAAGTTGGTTTGGACCCACAGCGACTATGCACAACAGAATGAAACACTGCCAGGTCCTGCACCATCCTGACAGTTGTTCTATGCTTAAGGCCATTATTGCAACCACTGTGTCAAATATATTTGTTTCATCACCTGGCTTCCATTTTCTTACGTTCTGGATCATCAGTATAATTAATGCTTTTCATCCAGGGAGAGTATAATGTCTTTTTTTTTTTTTTAAACATTTTATTAGGGGCTCATACAACTGTTATCGCAATCCATACACACATCAATTGTGTAAAGCACATTTGTACACCA